GTCGGCAGTTAATACGTCTGCTGGCTTGCTTCGCGGTAGGCCATATGGGGGTGTTGCGATCTTGTGCCGTAAGGAGGCGTTTACTTCAGTGACAGTGATCGACTGTGGAAATCCTAGGGTATGTGCAATAAAGGCAAGGTGAAAAATTATATGCCAGTGGATAAAAATGAAAACCTAAATGAGTTCACGGAGTGTTTAGGTAGAATTAGTGCTATCATTGAAAGTTGTACAATAGAAACAGTTTACATTGTTGGTGATTTCAATGCTCACCCAGGTGAGCTATTTGGTGATGAATTATTAAAGTTTTGTACGGATCAGTGTTGGCAGTGCGCTGATATGGACAAACTCGGTATGTACTCTGACTCTTTTACATATGTAAGTGATGCACACGGTAGTAGAAGATGGCTCGATCACTGTGTGACTACTACTGCCGCTTGCCAAACTGTGCGCAGTGTCATAATTTTACACAGTATTTATTGGTCGGATCATTTCCCTTTAAGTATTACTTGTGACCTAGCAACTGTGAGGTCTAAAATACCTCAAAATATTGTTAAGAATAGTAAAATAATATGAGGCAACAGAAAACCACATCAAATACTCAAATATAAAGAATATTGTAATTCGAAATTTAGAGATATGCATTTACCGGTAGAGTTTTGCCATTGTTGTGATCGTATGTGTACATGTATAGATCACAAAGAGACTTTAGATAAGATGTATGGGGCTATAGTAAATACCTTAAGCGAGGCCGCAATTATGACATATGAAGGTAGTGCCATTACTGCCAAAAAGAAAACTGTAGTCGGATGGAATAAATATGTAAAAGATGCTCATAGGGAGTCCAGGATACAATTTGATAATTGGTTAAAATGTGGCAAACCTAAAGGGGGCATTGTGTATGATCTTATGTGTGAGAGCAGACGTCGATTTAAATCTAAGTTAAAATGGTGCCAGAATCGGGAATAACAAATTAAAATGGACATAATAGCTACTCAACATTGTAATAAGGACTTCAAAAATTTTTGGAAATCCACAAATAAATTAAATGTACGGCCTGGTCTTCTTGTGAGCATTGGGAACACTAATGATAAAAAACAGATTGTTGAAAATTTTAGGCAATATTTTAATGTTGACTCTCCTTTAGGGACCATAAATGGTAAAACCTACACGGAAGTCCCCTTCGATACAGACCTGGTTCGCTTCACAGCTAAACAGGTGGGTGTAGTGATTATGAACATGAAAAGGGGGAGGTCGCCAGGGTATGATGATCTTAGCATTGAGCATTTGCAACATGCTTGTGGCCATCTTCCTAGAATTTTGGGTTTGTTCTTTTCACTGTGCCTACGACATAGATATCTACCTAATAATATAATGAGAACTATTGTTGTGCCAATTCTAATAAATAAAACTGGGGACATCTCGGACATAACCAACTATAGACCTATATCGTTGGCTACAATATTATCAAAGGTACTGGACGGTCTACTTGATACTTATTTAATAAAATATTTGCAGTTACACGATGCTCAATTTGGTTTCCGAACTGGGAGTGCCATCTTGGCCCTTAAGCGAACCGTTGAGTACTACACGGACAGAAAAACACCTGTGTGTGACTGTTTTCTAGACTTGTCAAAAGCCTTCGATATGGTGTCCTATGAAATATTGTGAAGCAAGTTGAGGAAAACCGGGATACCTGCTGACCTTGTTGCCATGTTCGAGTATTGGTACAACAATCAAATAAATAATGTCAAATGGGCAGATACGTTTTCCGATCCGTACAGGCTAGAATATGGGGTGAGACAAGGGGGTTTAAGCTCACCGAACCTATTCAGCCTGTACATTAATGACCTAATCGGTGAATTGAGCAGCATGTATATCGGATGCTATGTAGATGGAGTATGTTTAAACAATTTAAGTTACGCCGATGATATGGTGCTGCTCGCCCCGTCTGTTAGTGCTCTTAGAAAATAATTACGCGTTCGTGAGGATTATGCTGTTAGACATGGTTTAGTATACAATGCTAAGAAAAGCCAGTTTATGGTATTTAGAGCTGGAAAAAAGTGTCCAAAGAATGTGCCTCCTATTTTGCTTAATGGCACTGCCCTAGGAAGAGTAAAAGAGTTTAAATATCTAGGCCACTACATAACTGAAAATTGTAAAGATGATATGGACATCGAGAGGGAGCGAAGGGCACTGTCGATCCGTGGAAATATGTTGATTCGTAGGTTTGCGCGGTGCAGCAAGAGAAGTTAAGATTACACTCTTCAAAACCTATTGTCAATCTTTTTACGCATGCAGCGGACTTATGGACAACGTATACAAAGCGCGCTTACAGTGACCTTCGTGTTTTATATAATAACATTTTCAGGGCCCTGTCGGGGCTGCCTCGGTTTTGTAGCGCATCAGGGATGTTTGCAGAAACACGAACAGATGACTTCTTAGCAACAATGCGTAAAAGAGTGTACTCGCTGTTGAGCAGAACACGTGGCAGCCGCAACAGTATAATGAACGTGTTCGCCGAAAGATGTGATTGGCATATGCTAGATTATTGGAACGATTTGTTGAAAAGTGACTACTCATATTTAAGAAACTAACGTTAGTGTTTAAGGTGCACAATTACTAACAACTTATATGGATCTATATCTGAAGTAAAAAGAGTTATTATTATTGTGGGGTATCTATACAGTTTTCTCATCTGGTTGGGTTCTATAAATATATAATTATAAATGAAAATGAAAAGATAAATATACATAAATATCAATAACATAAAATAAATACAAAAAATACATAAATAAATAAAAGCCCAACCAGATGGAGGCCCTCGGCAGGGGGAGACCAAACGGCCGAGGGTTAGAGGGAAAGGGAAAGAAACCGGCGGACGATGCGGGCGGTATCGAGGAGCACCGCCTTCTGCATTTGAGCCCGGAGCGGTCCGCCACGTAGTCCCAGTCGCCTCAGATGACCCGAGAGGCTGACTGGGATTAGCCCGTTTGCAGAGACGACTACAGGAATAATTTCGGTCGGCAGACCACCCCACATGTCAGTCACCTCGTGAGCCAGGTCCAGATATTTTGTTCGCTTGTCTGTTTCGGCTTTCACGAGGTTCTCGTCATACGGAATGGTAATGTCGACCAAAAATATCCTTGACTGTGCCCGGTCCATCAGCACAATATCAGGCTTATCCGCAAGAATAGTCCTGTCTGTGATGATGGCCCGGTCCCAGTAGAGCCTGGCGCGGTCATTTTCGAGCAGGGCTTCCGGCAAGTACTTGTAATACGGCTACGGATCCACGAGACCGTATTTCAGAGCGAGCTCCTGGTGAAGAATTCTGGCTACTAGGTTGTGCCTGTGCAAGTACTCAGAGTTAGAAAGCGCCGAACAACCGGAGATGACATGCCTAAGTGACTCACCGGGATGGCGACAAGCTCGACAGATGTCCACGGTGCCATCCTTTAGGATGTATCTCCGATAGTTGTTGGTCTTAATAACCTGATCCTGTATTGCACAGACAAAACCCTCGGTTTCCCCGAATAGATCACCAAAGCGTAGCCAGTGGAGGGAGGCTACTGTGTCTACGAAAGGCTCATGTAGAGCCTTGTAGAACCTCCCGTGGAGCTCCTTCTCCTTCCATACGTTCTCCCGGTCGGAAATTGTCTGCACTGCCGGGTCTTGCCATTGCTCCTTGGCTAAGGATAGAGGGGTAAGTCCTTTATCACTAGAAATGACGTACTTATAGAATGGATCATCCGATCTCGCCAGGAAGTAATTACGGAGGCTGCAAACTTCGCGATTATGCATGGTGAGCGCGCTCAAGAAGCCACGCCCACCATGCTTTCGCGGCAAGTACAGCCTCATTACCGACGATCTCGGATGATGCATCCTGTGGGACGTCATGGTAGTGCGGACTTTTCTATCCAGGGCGTTAAGTTCAGTCTGAGTCCACCTGAGTATGCCAAAGGTATACATGAGGACAGGCATGACCCAGCCGTTATATGCGTGTGTCTTATTCACACCGGACAAAAGGCTGTTAAGCACTTTGGTCAAGCGTGCATAAAACACGTCGCAAACTGACTGTTTCATACCAGCCTCATCGATACCGATGTTCTGTGACATACCCAGGTATCGGTATGTTTCAGCCTCGGAAAGGGTCCTTAAGTTAACGGGCATAGATAAGTCTATGCCCTCAGAGTTAGCAACCCTCCCCCTTTCAACATGGAGGACCGCACACTTATCCGTTCCCAGCTCCATTCCAATAGAATTGCTAAATTCACAAGTGATGTTTAGCAATTCCATAAGATGGGAGCGACTGGAGGCGAATAACTTGAGGTCATCCATATAGAAAAGGTGGGTCACTTTTGTACCTCCTTTCCGAAGCTGAAATCCCCCTCCCGGAGCCCTCCAGTAAAGTACTGAGAGGGTTCAGGGAGAGGCAAAACCAGATTGGACTCAGACAATCGCCCTGGAAGATACCCCTTCTTATCCTTATGTGGTTCTCCGCAGCCATCATCCGCTCGCCCAGATAGCAAAGGATCGTACTCCATTGCCCCATACACTGCTCGAGGAAGTCTCCAACTGTACAGTCAATTTTGTACAGCTGGAGGACTCTCTTTAGCCATGTATGGGGCACCGAGTCGAATGCCTTTCTGTAGTCTATCCAGGCGGCGGAGAAATTCCGACGGTTGCGTTTCACCACTTTGCCAATGACCGCGTCAATGAGGAGTGGTTCCTTGGTTCCACGACCACCGCCCCGGCATCCATTTTGAGCGCGTGACATCACCTGATTTAGCTCCAGGTGACGAGTGATTCTCGCGCTCAAAATGGATGTCAGTGTCTTATATATGGTGGGTAGACACGTGATGGGGCGGTATTTGCTCGGGTCTGTGGTATCCTGATCTTTAGGAACCAAATGAGTGATCCCAGTAGTGAAGAGGCTCGGGAGCGACTTCTGATCGAGAGCCTCTTGAAACTGTCGGGCGAGCACAGCGTGACACACTACGAACCCCTTCAGCCAGTAATGATGCAGCCCGTCGAGCCCCGGACTTTTCCAGTTCGGGGCCCTACGGACCGCCTCAGCCACGTCTTCAGGCGTTATGGTGACGGGGTCCATAGGCGTAACACTTGCACTCTGGCTCGCCACAACTTCCATCCAAGGGCCCTCGCTGTGGTTTACGGGCTCTGACCACAGGCCACGCCAAAATGCGACAGTGTCAGCCTGATCCGGTCCTGGGCCCGCTCCACATACCTCTGGTCGCTCCAATGTTTTATAGAGCCTCTTCTGATCACTCTGGAAGAGACGATTCTGGTTGAACCGCCTTGACCTCTCGCTAAATCGTCGAATCCGCTTCCCCCAAGCAGCGATTTTTTGCTTCAGGTCATCTATGCGCTCCGTTAGTTTTTGCGTGATATCCGGCTGGAACAAATTGATATTTGTCCCAGCAAACGCCATCCTAACGGTGCGCATAATCCTCGGTCTATTATTACCCGACCTGAAGCTTGTCAGTCTGCCGATAAGGGCCCTTGCCTTTGCGATACGGTCCTCAATTCTTTTTCTCCAGGCTGGGATGGCGCTACTTTTTTGAGTAGCACGTCCAGCCACGGGAAGTTTGGCGCCAATAATACGGCATACTGCCAGTGCGGCGCCAAAAAGAATTGAATCCGTCTCGCAAAGGTCCCGGCTGGCTTCCAAATAGGTCACCAGCATTGGGTTAAGAGCCCGCACGACAGCTCGATTTCGCTTGCTAAGGGGTATGCGGGGAAGTCGCGGTCGATTTTCGAGAGGCATGCTGCGCGTTTCCAGCATCGACTCTTCCAATATGCTCCTCATTTTCTCTAGTTCGTGGGAGACTATTCCATCATCGTCTGAATTAGCCACAAATGGAATGTTGACGGCAGCATCCACATATGCAGTTTGTTGCGCATCTAGTGGCGCCGCATTCCCAGCCGTAGCATTTCCATTCGATGAAGGAATAGCCTCACGTCGTAGTCGCTCGAGTTCGGCGTCACCAAATATGTTGGAGCGCAGGATGTACCTAACTCGGTCTGCCAGGTTTTGCTCAGTGACGGATAGAGATGGCTCCAGCTCTGCAAAAAAGCGATGCATCCGAGCCCGATACGCCAAACATCCAGTTTCTTCCCCTTTTGCCCTAAAATACGCCCGCAGTGCGTTTTCATTCATTGATTTAGACCAACGCATGCGACGTGCTCCACCAGCGGCGGGTGCCGCTTGCTGAGTCCGAGAAGACCCAGCCGACACCAAGCCTTCTGGTGGGGATGATGGATGCGGGGGGCTGCTAGGTGGTCTTGCAACACCCCGCGCTCGGCTGGCGGCCCGTATGCTGTCGCGTCCAGCGCCAGCTCCAGACGCGCCCTGGCGACCTCCAGGCAGCGGCCCTTTGCGCACTATCTTTTTCTCCATCATCCATAATATGGGCGTCCATTAACGGGAGACGCCCAGGCCCGGCACCGTATCGTGGACGGCCATAAGCACAAACGGGCCTTTGCACCCTGAATTCTGCCGAGGCACGGCGCTCACACCTCTCGCAAGGCGCTGACTGACTGCGTTGACGTAGCAGTTTTGTCACTTAACTGTTACGTCAGCGGGCGATGGGGTCGTCAATTCCCTACGCCATTTTAACACTTCCACTTATTATTTTATTATTAGTATTTTATTATTATTATGTGGGGTATCTATATAGTTTTCTCATCTGGTTGGGATGTATAAATATATAATTATAAATGAAAATGAAAAGATAAATATACATAAATATTAATAAAATAAAATAAATACAAAAATACATAAATAAATAAAAGCACAACCAGATGGAAGCCCTCGGCCTTATTATTATTATTATTATTTTGTTTGCTTTTATATCTCGGCTTTTACCGGTTTACTAATAGCACGGGCCTAAGCCAAGTGTATATTAGTGCTGGATTTGGTGCTATCCTGTGAACTACCTTATTCAGTTACCTGTGTGTTAGGTTGTGAGGCAATTTGTCTAAGTATAGGAGGTATGGTTTGTTCTTCAGTTTGCAGGAACTTCCTAACTATTCTGCATGTATTCAGTATTACAGCTTTCTGTAAAAGTTTGTATGTATTGGGTGGTAAATTTAAAGTTTTTACAGATTGGTGTAATTGCTTCGGTATTACGCCGGTTGTCGATAGGACAATGGGCACTATAATTACTTTTTGAAGATGCCAGAGTCGAGTTATTATTATTAATTGTTATCTCACTTATCTTCTCTAAGTCTTTCGAGAAAATGCCTTTTATTTTAACGTTTAAGCGATACGAACTGTCGTCGTTAATTCGCTTACCTCCTACGGCTTCAATACGTAATTCTTCTTTGCGTCCGCGAGGTGCTAACTTCTGAGCCATCCACTCCTCTATGAGTGTCATGGTTGACCCTTCATCCAGAAGAGCTGTGGTCTTGACCTTTCCTCTAGGTCCATACAACTCGACCGGTATAATTTTTAAATATGCACATGCCAGTGCATTCACTGTACTAACAGTTGTAATTTGAGCATCTTTACCCCCCCTTGTCCCCTTGCGGCGAGGTATTTTTATTGGGGTATCGATGTAGCATTCGATAATGTGCCATTCTACATCCCTCTACACCACATTTTTTCGCTCTGCACTCTAACCTCCTATGATTAGGTGACAAACATTGGAAACATACTTTCGCCTTTTTTAACCGCTTCCCATTTTTTCGCGATTATTCATATCCTTAAATTTGTAACAACTCACTATAGAGTGTTCCTTGTTACATATAACACACTTATGTGTTACCCGACTTACAAGCTTATCCTGGGTTATCATAACCACTTGTCGGTTGTACCCTTTATTATTTCGGCGTTCGTAACGCTCGCTCTTAAAACGGTTGCGTACAGACCCCTTTGCAGTGTGTACAGTTTGCTTCCTGAATTCAGGACGTTTCCGTTTTTCAGGCACATTTTCATTACTTAAGGACGTTCCAAATTGTTCACTCAATGAATTCAAAAATTTGGCCATCTTCTCTAACTCTGGCTCCAAAGGATGCTAAGCTTGATATTCGAACCATTTAAATTTAATCATAGTTCCAAGTTTCTCCACTATACGGCTTACTAACTCCGGTGAGTATAAATACTGTGGTTGGTTCAATGCTTGTATTGCAGCAACCACGTTCGTAATGCGACTTGCAAAAGAACCTATATTTCGGCGATCTTCCGCCAATCTTGGCGTACGCTTTACATTCTCTATTTCGGCTAGAATGAGCATCCCAACCCTACCGAATCTTCTTTCGAGAGAGTTCATTATTTCTTCAAGTTCACACAAAGTAAACAACAATGACTTAACCGCTTCCTTAGCGGTGCCCTTTAATGCCCTCCTAAGGCGTGCGACATTCTGCACCCCTGAAAATTGGCTTCTTGTGTCTTCAAACACCTTTTTGAAAATTATCCATTCACCCAGGTCTCCATCGAAGACCGGTAATTCCTGGAGGAAATGAAGCTGGGAAGACTTATCTTTACCCGCTATCTTTATTGCACTCACAATCGCTTCGGTCAATTCTGACCCCCCACACGCGTGTGCTTTCTGTGCATTTCCTAGGTTGCGCTCGATCTCCGCCCCTTTGCGGCGTGATCCCTTACACGCTCCCTTATCAGTAATGTCGGGTTGCGTTACACTAACCGGCGCGCTCATTATGGTCTGTTGAACCCAACTCCTTACGAAAGGTTCCACCTGAGTATTCCGCTCTTCATTATCCTCACTCGAGTCGATCTCCTCTTCTCGGTTGAGACGTGCCAACTCCAATTGAGACTTGGCTCGTCTCGACTCGTTCGAGCTCTGAGCGTTCGAATTTAATCCGCACCTCTAATTCGGCTTTCAGCCTCGCCTATCGCGATGACCTACCTCTCTGTGACCCTTTGTCACTAGTGTGCCCGATTACTGTTCTTAACGATGCCGCTTCTTCGGTCCCTTGACCTACTTTTTCGACTATCGTTTCACTCCTAGATATAACGAATTTCTGTGCGGCGCTGGTCTGTGTACCACTGGTGTCCGTCCTGTTGCTTGTCGTTGCCACGGATGCCCCTGAGTCCCACGTGCATGTGGACGTGTCGGTGGTGGCTCCACTTGAAGGAGTTGCCCCATTTGACGCAGTATCTGTGGTCGCTCCAGATGGTTCCGCCTCTTTAGCTTTTCTTGAGAGCCCTGTTCTTGTCCTGCTCCCTTCGCTCCTCTCTGTCTGGTCTTGTGCCTTCTTCATCTTGCAGGAAGGTGATTGTTGGCCTACGGTCCCTACAACCCCTTACCTACAACCCTTCTACACCCCAACCTAACACCACTACCCCTACCCCCCCTTATCTCCCAACCCTACAACCCTACTACCACCCTAACAGCCCTATCAGCCCTATCAATCCTGAACGGGGCCTACCGAGGTGAGCCGTCCAGGGATGGAGTCGTGCAGGAATGGAATGGAGGAAAGGTTTAGGAACTGTCCCGCCAAGGAATATGACGAAACAGTCGAGCGGTAGTGCAAGCGCAGTCTCGCTCGAGAGAACTGCTCCACCCGAAGGTGTTGTGCCAGAGCCCGACCGGTTTGGCACCGTTAGGGGGTCGGGATATATGCTGTGCTCGCCGCCCAGTCGCCGGTGACGCCTCGTCCAGGCGCTCTCCTCCGGCCGCGATGCAGTCAGGTGCCCACACGAGCACCCTCGCCTGGCAGCAGCAGCGGTGGATGCTTCTTCTTCTTTCTTGCACCCTTGCCTGGCAACAATGAGTGCGTCCTCTTCTTTCTTGCACCCTTGCCTGGCAACTGTGAGCGCTCCCGCGTTGGTAACAGCAAACAGCAAACGCCTTTGAGCGCTACAGGAAATGAAAACACAATCCCGTAGAGGAAATGCCGAGCCTGATGACCCGACAAGAAATGCCGGACACGGTCGTCCGACAGGAAATGCCAACTATGGCCGTCCAGTGGAAAATGCCGAGCACGCTTGCCCGACAGGAAAAATGCCAAGCGCTGCTTGACCACGATAAGCGCCTTCAAAAGGCACCTGCGCCTGGCTGCGATAAATGCCCCATGCGAGCACACGCCCCAAGCCGCAATCCCGGTTTTCTTTCTTCCGGTAGCTACCAGTATTCCAGGTCCGGTCCTGCCTAAGCCCTGATGGGCCTACTGCGCTGGCCTGGTCTTCTTGCCTCTGGTCCTGTTACTTCAGCTCAAACCTCCGGCTTCCTTCGGTCGCTGATCTTCACTCGGCTCCAAAGGTGAATGGTATCCAGCAGTTCACAGCTGGTTCCTTAGATCCGGCTCGAAGGACCAATTGAAAAAGGACAGGAACGAGGGAAGGGTCTTTGTCACGGCTCGTTCAGCAGCGGATTCCCTAACCTCCTATGACACCTACGTTGGGTTCGGGAACAACGTATGTGAACCCCGCAACGGAGTAACACACAAGGGCGTCGACTTCTTCTTTTTCTTCAAATAGATTCAGACGGGAATTACGGGCATTCCGAGGTCGTCCCGGTCCCAACGCCTTAATTCTTCAATATGTGCCGCGCTAGCAACACCAATGAACTGTACTTATTTTAAAGGTGAAGGATCCCTTGGGAATAAAACAGTAATTATCTTCAAACCGTTCCGTGAGAGAGTAATTATTTTCCCTATCACTTCCCTATATACTTTTCTTTCTTCATCATCATTCATCATTACAGCCCTTCACAAGTCCACTGCTGAACATAGGCCTCCCCCAAGTAATGCCACAAAGCACGGTCCTGAGCCACCTGCATCCATCGGCTTCCTGCATGTGTAATAGTGGAGAAGAACTGTCCACTATTAACAGACTCCGAGTGGTTTTCTTTAAGGTGGAGAAATGAAACTACTGTTTATGTTTATGAATGTACTGTCGAATGGGATTCAGAATGGAATAATCTTTTGCATCAACCTTGCCTATATTTATATGGCTGGCTCACTATTGATTTGCCAATGGTAACAATTAATATTTTGCCTAGCCAATTATATTGCTTATTTTATGACCAATGAAAACTATTTAAAATATACAATTATCTACGTTTCGTTTCCCGGCGTGAGACTTGTTTGTTGTTCACGAAGCTACGTCGCTGGACCGGGCTATATAAGACATGCAGATCGGTGCGCACGCGTAGTCGGCGGGCGGCGGCGGTGTGGAATACAGCTCCGGAACAGCAAGAGGAAACGAACTGCGGCGTTGAAGAAACGGCTCACCATTGGTCGACGGATACGTGACGATAGCGGCGTGTGAAGTCGGTGTGGCGCTGAATGATATTTGCGGCTGCTTCTTGTTTCTTTATAAGAACGTCAAATTATCTATATACAGTCCGCAGTATCTCAGTAGCCAAGAATAATTAGGAAATAAAATGTTTTTTTTATTTATTCTCGCCTTCCGCGTTATGGTAGCAGCGGAGT